CCTCCCAGGGCTGATCTCCAAAATACATAAAGAACTCAAGAAATTGGTCATCACCTATAACTGCTAAAGAAACAGAAACAGTCATCAAAAGTCTCCCAACCAAAAAAAAGCCCAGGACCAGATGGTTTCAGCTCAGAATTCTACAAGATTTTCAAAGAAGAACGAATACCAATACTCCTCTAATTGTTCCACACCATAGAAACAGAAGGAACATTGCCAAACTCTTTATGAGACTACAATTACCCTGATACCCAAACCACAGAAAGACATTACTAAGAATGAAAATTACAGACCAATTTCACTCATGAACATTGATGTAAAAATACTACATAAAATACTGGCAAATCAAATCCAAGAACACATCAGAACCATCATCCACCATGACCACGTTGGCTTCATCCCACAGATGCAGGGATGGTTCAACATACGAAAATCTGTCAACGTAATCCACCATATAAACAAACTGAAAAATAAAAACCATATGATCATCTCATTAGATGCTGAAAAAGCTTTCAACAAAACACAACATCCCTTCATGATAAAGGTCTTGGAGAGAGCAGGGATACAAAGGAACATACCTAAACATAATAACAGAAATATACAACAATCCAACAGCCAACATCAAACTAGATGGAGAGAAACTCCCAGCAATTCCACTGAAATCAGGAACAAGACAAGGCTGTCCACTCTCTCCATATCTATTCAATATAGTTCTTGAGGTCCTAGCTAGAGCAATAAGGCAACAAAAGAAGATCAAGGGGATTGAAAAAGAAGAAGTCCAACTCTCACTATTTGCTGATGAGATGATAGCTTACATAAGCAACCCCAAAAATTCTACCAAGAAACTTCTACAACTCATAAACACTTTCAGTAATGTAGCAGGACGCAAGATTAACTTAAAAAAAAATCAGTATCCCTCCTGTACACAGATGATAAAAGGCCTGGGGAAGAAATCAGAGAAACATCACCCTTCATAATAGCCACAAATAGCATAAAATATCTTGGAGTAACTCTAACCAAACAAATGGAAGACTTGTATGAAAATAACTTTAAATCTTTGAAGAAAGAAATTGAATAGGACACCAGAAAATGAAAAGATCTCCCATGCTCTTGGGTAGGAAGAATTAACATAGTAAAAATGGCAATCTTACCAAAAGCAATCTATAGATAAAGCAATGCCCATCAAAATCCCAGCAAAATTCTTCACAGACCTCGAAAGAACAATACTCAACTTCATATGAAAAAGCAAAAAAACATGGGATAGCCAAAACAATCCTGTACAATAAAAGAACTTCTGGAGGCATCACAATCCCTGACTTCAAACTCTACTACAGAGCTACAGTACTGAAAACAGCCTGGTATTGACATAAAAACAGACAGGAGGACCAATGGAACCAAATCAAAGACTCGGATATCAATCCACACATCTTCGTTCACCTGATTTTTGACAAAGAAGCAAAAAAATACCAAATGGAAAAGAGAAAGCATATTTTATTTAACAGGTGATGCTGGCATAACTGGATATCAAAATGTAGAAGAATGAAAATAGATCCATATCTATCACCATGCACAAAAGTTAAGTCCAAATGAATCAAACACCTCAACATAAAGACAGTCACACTGAAGCTCATAGAAGAGAAAGTGGGAAGTATACTTGAACGCATTGGCCACTTCCTAAATATAACCCCAGTAGCACAGACACTGAGAGAAACAATTAATCAATGGGACCTCCTGAAACTGAAAAGCTTCTGTAAAGCAAAGGTTATGGTTAACAAGACAAAACAACAGCCTACAGAATGGGAAAAGAGCTTCACTAACCCTACATCAGACAGAGATCTGATCTCCAAAATACACAAAGGACTCAAGAAATTGGTCATCAAAAGAACAAATAATGCAATAAAAAAAAATAGAGTACAGATCTAAACAGAGAACTCAAAACAGAGGAATCTAAAATGGCTGAAAGACAATTAAGGAAATATTCAACATCCTTAGCCATTAGAGAAATGCAAATCAAAACAACTCTGAGATTCCATCTTACACCTGTAAGAATGGCCAAGATTAAAAACACTGATGACAACTTATGCTGGAGAGGTTGTGGGGTAAAGGGAACACTTCTGCATTGCTGGTGGGAATGCAAGCTGGGACAGCCCCTTTGGATGTCAGTGTGGCGATTTCTCAGAAAATTAGGAAACAACCTTCCTCAAGACCCAGGAATACCACTTTTGGGTATATATCCAAAGGATGCTCAATCGTGCCACAAGGACATGTGCTCAACTATGTTCATAGCAGCTTTGTTTGTCATAGCCAGAACCTGGAAACAACCTAAATGTTCCTCGACCAAAGAATGAATAAGGAAAATGTGGTGCATTTACACAATGGAGTACTACACAGCAGAAAAAAATAACGACAGCTGGAAATCTGCAGGCAAATGGATGGAGCTAGAAAACATTATTTTGAGTGAGTAACCCAGACACAGAAAGACAACTATCACATATACTCATTCATAAGTGGTTTTTAAACATAAAGCAAAGAAAATTATCCTACAAATCACAATCCCAGAGATCTAGACAACAATGAGGACCCTAAGACAGACAGACATGGCCTTATCTACATGGGAAATAGAAAAAGACAAGATCTCCTGAGTAAATTGGAGCATGAGACCATAGGAGACGGTAGAAGGGGATGCAGGCGGAAGGAGGGAGCAGAGAAAATATATAGCTCAATAAAAACAATTAAAAAGAACAAAAAAATAAAATACCAAAAAAAAAAAAACAATTGGCCTCTCAGACTTTACAAAGTCCTAGCCCCACACACATCCTATGCCAGCCACATTGCTTTTCAAAGCCAACAGGCATGTTCCTATTTTACATCTCCTGCACTTAATCTTCCCCTTGTATAGAAGGGGCTTGTTACCTCGGTTTCCCTTTCATTAGGTCTCTGCTGTAGGTATCTTAAAAAAACCTTTCCCCCAACCCCATCACTTCCATTCTCCATCCATGTGCTCTTATAATGGACTCACAGGAATACAACTCCATACTGGGAACATGGGAGCCATAAGAGGGCACAAACTGCTCTCTGTTCACTGACTATTTCCAATATTTAAAACAGTGCTGTGCACATAATAACAACATGAAAATATCTGCTAAACGTACATCGAAACTGGTATGTTGCATGAACAAAGCAAGTTATAAAACTACTTAAGGGACTAGAGAGAGGGCTGCTCCATTAACAGTGCTGGCTAGTCTTGCAAAGGACCTGAGTTCAGTTCCCCCTACGTCAGGGGACTCACAAACAACTTTTAACGCCAGTTCTGGGGAATACAAGGCCTTCTTCTGGCCTCCATGGGTGCATGCACACAGACATGCACGCACACAAATATTTTTAAAGAACTACTTTAAAGTAATATAGTAATTAGAATTTAGCTGTGATGGTGGGTAAGTTTCCTGTAACTCCTCAAGTCATAATATGACACTCTGTAAAGTAAAAATGCCAACAGTGTTGAATTCAGATATCTAAAGGGACAAATGAGTAAATGCATACACAGAGAACTAACCCCAAGGCTGACATCAACAGGACCATGGAACAAAGCCTGGCCATGTTTGTAAAGGAAGTGTCCGTGTGGCACAGCCATGCCCAATCACTTACAAATGGTTTAGGCATCCTTCCCTGTACAATCGCAGAGCTGGGTACCAACTGACCTGCAAATGACCTGCAAAGCTACCTAGGCCTTTGCAAAACAAGCATGTGAACCTCCAACCTAGACAACAGTCTGTGCCAAGTGAATGCCAGACATTTTATCTATGTTACTCTGTACCTGGCTACAATGATAGATTGTATGTGTATAAATCTCAACCTGCCAGATTATCATTAAACAAAACAAAACCCTTGCTTAGTGTTTTTCAGATATATGGAAGGATAATGAGGCACATGACTCCGAAATGCAGACAGGCTCAGTCCTCTTAAGATTATATGACCTTGTTGCCAGGACATTATCATGGTATGGATTATAGAAATGGATATAGCACTATGCAAAGTAACTGATTCACCTTTAACTTAAAAGAAAAAGAAATTCATACCATGCAGTATGTTCAGAGGCCTTGGGGTGGGGGGCAAATTAACAATGACAAGATATTACAATTCCAGAGAGGAGAAAGAAAGGTGATAAACTTCCAAGCACCAGCAACAGACTACACCTGCAAGAGCTGAAGTTTAGTGAAGGTGGGGTAGGAGAAAGGCACACCTATAATCCAGCACACAGGAGGGAGAGGCAGGCGGATCTCCGTGAGGTCACCCTTGTCTACACAGAGAGTTCCAGGCCAGTCAATGCTACACATTGAGAGCCTGTCTCCAAAAGAAGAGAAAAAAAGAAATGGAATTGAGTAAGGCATCAAGTTAATGGGCACCTAAAGAACAGCAGATTCTCACCCATCATCTCATACACGGGGGCACATGTTCATAAATTTCTTTCTCTGCGTAGTCTAACTTAACTCTGTATGGTAAAAACACTTAAAATGCTGCATGACTACTATTCTAGTAAATTATTTTATTTTATTGTTTCCTAAAAATAACCATATTAGAGACAGATATGATGGCTGCTGCCTGTAATTTCAGCACCCAGGAGGCAGAGGCAGGAGGATCACCTAAGATTGAGGCCAATCTTAGCTATAAGATGAGTTACAGGTCAGCCAGGGCTGTAGAGCAACAGACTGTGTAGAAAATGAATAAACAAACGCTTCTGTTAAATGTGAGGAAGGGGCATCTGGAGAGACAGCTCAGCCATTAAGGGCATTAGCGGCTCTTCCAGAGGTTGAATTCAATTCCCAGCACCCACATGGTGGCTCACAGCCATCTGTAATGAGATCTGGTGTCTTCTTCTGGCAGTCAGGCACACGTGCAGACAGAGCAGTCGTCATCCATTTAAAAAAAAAAAAAAAAGTAAGGTATTTCTTAAATTCGCCACACATTACATGGTCTGATGTCACCATGAAGGACACTCTTACCTTGTTCTTCACTTCCTTCTTTACAGAGACTGGAGCTCTGGCCCAGACTTAAGCTTATGTCATCAGAAGTCTTAGCAGTGTCTGTGTCTCCTACAAAGATAAGAGAAACACAAGAGGACATGACACTAAAGAAAAGGACGGCAGAGAACAGCCACAGAGAGGGAGACCTACCAGCCACAGCAGCTCCGGCACAACAGGAGACACTATGTGGCGAAAGCACTGCACGCCGAGTGCCACGTGCCACGTAACTAATACCACAGAATGCAAGCAAGATGGCAGACTGTGTTAGCTTCTTTAAAAACAGATTGGGGAGAGGGGTGGCGCACACCTTTAATCCCAGCACCTGGGAGGCAAAGCACGCAGACCTCTGTGAGTTCGAGGCCAGCCTGGTGTACAAAGTGAGTTCCAGCACAGCAAAGGCTACACAGAGAAACCTTGTCTTGAAAAACAAAATAAAACAGATTCTAAATAGAAATGCCAAATATCTTGTGAGAATCCTGAAATAAAGGAAATCCCTCCCCAAGGGAGGTTAGCAGCTACAGCGCTGTGGAGCAAAATTGTGAATTTAGTTTAGAGAGATGTACAGAAAGAGAGTGTTTTCTCCTTTAATGTTTCAATTATGCTCACATTTAAAAATTTCATAGCAAATTAATTTTTCACAAGTTGCACACATACTTAGGAAAGCATGTCCGGTTATACCAAAAAGGTTTCTTATAGATCAAAACTTATAAACAATACAAATGTTCAAATATTTCTGTGATATTTAGATGGTGAAAGAATAATATAATTTAAATCAGGCAGTGTAATGTTACGTTATTTCGAGAATATTGTCTTTATTACATGATGAGAGAAGATGAATAGTCAGTCAATGCTCAGTTAGACTGTGTCTACCTTTAATAGTTGCTGCTGTTCCAAGGCGAGAGGATCCGGATCCAATCTAAAAGCAAGACAAAAAGGAAGTAAGACCAATTAACACACCACCAGTGCAAAGCATCAAGACTGTTAAAGCTATCTTCTCTGGCATCTGTCAGTTGCTTTACCAATACTTAGAGACACTGCTGTACACGCACTAGCAGAGGCGCACAGCTGCTTGTTGCGGTACACGTGGATGAGCCTCCTGTGGACTCAGGACTGATGGAGTCTCTGCAGCCAAACATCTGCCACTCAGGCAAACTGCACCACACAGTTATGACCATTTTTGACATTATATCAGGCATGCTTGTACTATAAACCAAAGCAAAGCCACACACTGAGTCTGTGGGAAATAAACTTAAGACTTCTTAGAGAACATAACCACAAAGTTTGAGGGGCAAAATATACTAACATACACAGAGAGCAACAGAAAATTTTACTATTCTTGGTTCCTAGACATAAAATACTTTTTATAGCCAGTTAGAACATTTAAAAATAATAAAAATCTAACCATCATACAAAAAATGAATTCTAAGCACAAACTGTAATTAGAAAACTAAAATGTAACTGATGTGTCTTTAATGTTTATATTCAAGATGGCCTGACATTTCCCTAAATGCTATACACATTATTTACACAACCATAAAAACCATATAAACAAATATCATCAATTCCACACACACAGTAAGAGAACAAAATACAGCATGATTTTGTCAACTGAATCAACAAGCATTAGAACTCTCCCAGTAAATCTGTTTTCAATGGATTCTGAGCAGTTTTGCACATTCAGCACTGTAAATACAATTTAACTCATACAATGCCTTCCTTACTTTGCCCACACCCTGTTCCTTTCATGAAGTCACTGTAACAGCAGAATACAAGAAATAAAGTTGGAGCAGAGGTGATACACAGACTTCTGGGAGAGCAGGAGGGGCTGAGCTAACCTGAAAGGCCACTGATTGCTGTCAACAGTAGAGACTTGGTGAGCTAGACACTGGAGATGTGTGCTACGATGTGTAAGTAACTGGTCAGTGAAAAGGCAACTAAAACACACACACACACACACACAGGCAAAACTAGTAAAAATCAATGCTACCAATAAAAAGCAAGCTCTGCAGGGCTGGAGAGAACACTGCTGGCAAAGTGCCGTGCAAGCAGGAGGATCAGACTCTGGATCCCCAGCACCCGTGTCAACAGTGGGAGCTCTGCAAGCCCGTCACCAGATGGGTGCAGAAAGTACATCTCTAGGATTCATTGGCCAGCCCTTGCATGGACACACACAGGTGCGTGGGCACACACATACCCCAAATGCACACACACACCACACACATTAAGTTTTGTAATATTTTGGGGCTGTTTGTTAAACCTGATCCTCTCAGGCTTTCTCAACACCTGCTTTAAATACATGATAAGGCACTGTACTGCCCTGAAGGGAAACCGTCACAAGGCATGATGTCACCAGCCCATAATTCTAGCACAAGGGAGGCTGAAAGGGGAAGATTTCAAGTTTGAGGTCAGCCTGGCTTTATAGTGAGAACCTATTTCCAAAATTAAAAACAAATAATATTCATAAATAAGCCCCTAATTTTTTTTTACTGCAAAACAAAGTTCCATTCTTAAATGTTTAACAGTTCAGTTTAGGCAATTTATATAAAAATATTATTTTTGTCTACCAGAAATATGAACACATAGTCACTTCCCAGATCGAATTTTTAAAAAAGTATATACAAACATCATTTAATGTATATCCTTCTGAAAATTTAAACTTAGAAAATAAACTTTTTAAATCGAGTTTTAGCTATTTGCTCACAATCCTCAAATGCGCCCGTTCTCCTTCTTGGCTAAGCTCCCCACTTTGTCCAGATGTTGCTCCATGTCTTTTGTCTAGGAGAAGTGAATCCCAGACTCACCAAGAGAGGGCTACAGGCCCTAGGTCTGATGACTGAATATAAGGGGAAAGTCTCTGAGGGGTCCAAACAGAGATGCCTTGTGCTCAGAGAGGCCTCTGCCCCTGCCCCACTACTCCCTCCGTCTCCAACAGCAGAGAGGAGCTGCTGTACTCTCCCCAGAGCCCAGGACAACCTACAGAACTGAGACAGTGCCAGTCAGCATCCAGCAGCCTCCAGTCTCATACCCAGGCCAGGGGGAGTGAGGGAAATGACTAAGACAGAGAACAGCAAAGATGGGAAGAAGCAGTTAGAAGGAGCCAAAGGGAAGAAGATGTGCTAACTCCACACGGACATGGTCCCACTGGGTACAGAATACAGTCACATAAACAACCATGATGGCGTGTAGGAAAGTTACACAACAAACAAGAAAAAGTGCGTTTGTATATATTGGTAGCAACCATGGATCGACTAATACCCTAAATTAACTTCTTCACTTTAACTAATCTAAAAGGTAAAAATAATTATGTCGAAAACATTACACATTATAAAGTCTAAAACACCAAGTAAAAAAAATTGCTTAAAATATTTTCTCATTGTAATGTAAGAATTACAATTTAAGAAAAACATAATTGTCTGCAGTATGTGTTTAGATGTACAAATGCTTCAATTATACTCCAGAAGACAGTTAGAGACAGAGCAACAGAAAGGACACCAAGGGCAGGTATCCAAAGGTGACTGACTGGCCCCTGCTATGTCCAGTCCTGTCCTAAAAATTTTTTTAAATAAATAAATAAAGATTAAGACTGGCAAAAAAAAAAAAAAAGATTAAGACTGGTTCTCCAAACACTAGTGGGAACATAGGCTAACTCCCAGGGCTAACCTGCCGGTACCTGCACTTGTAGGAGGGCCAGGGCTAACACAGAATACACAGTCATAGTGATTAAGGATTCAGTTATTTACTCTATACACAAAAGCTGAGGAAAGCATAAGACAACCAAAAGAATAAGAAGCTAGGTAGCAGGGCTTTACTCCAAATGTTGTACAACCTGTAACTTCAAAGTACCAATCGTTCTCATGGAAATCGGCCTTTTTGTCTCAATAGTCGTTTTCCGCATTTTTTAAAAAATACCAAATTTCCCCATTCCATAGATGACGAAAAGAACTTAACACTCTCTTTGTTCTATCATGAGCAACGGTTTCACAATAAAAACCATTACTAAGAACTCACTTAAACTTGGAGCACAACTGCGCACATGTATTCAAGATTCTGGTTCAGTTTGTGGTAATCTCACCATGCTACTTAATGTTCGGCATCATAGGTGAAGACTGTGAGCGAGCATCCAGAGAACCAGGCTGGCTACCGCTAAGAGAGAGGCTGAGCTCAATTCCATCTGTACAACTTGATTATCTACACAGGAAGGTAATTAGCAACCACGAACTGAGAGTGGGCTGAGCACGGGGCAGCACACTACAGAGCAGTGAGAAGTCTACTCTGCGGGCTTCCAACTCGCCACACGTCACACACGGAGAACTAAGTGTAATAAATATTAAGTGTCTGTGCAAAAAGAGCCAACACCACAGTCTGAAAACACTGAGGATCTGGGGGCGGTTTCCAGAGAGTTAAGTAGGACAGGAGACCGAGTGTCTCTCTGGGACATGAGGGGAAAGAGCATTTCAACCACGAGCTATGAAGGTGACAAGAAGGGCCCTGGAGTGAGATTAGGAAGTGAGTACTCTGCTAGCCCGATGGAAATCGGCTGCCTCCCTTTCATGATAGAAGGACTGACACAGTGACCCCGAAACCCCACAATGGGGTAAAGTTCTTCTGTGAAAAGTTCCCCCTTCACTCCAGTGATCTGCTGAGAAAGCAGGCGGGAAAGGCCTGGCCTGGAGCAGCACCCGCTCAGAACAAGTGAGAGCAGACGAGCAGAGCTGAGCTGAGGTCAGACATGCAACAGGCTACCCCCCTGTCTACGGAAACACTTTCAGAGTTACATTCCAAGAATAAAAGTTACCCAACAGAAATACATTACAACTGTCAGAAGCAGACTTACATTCTACTTCTCACTTTACCATTAGCATTTACAAGACTGAGATTTGGGGTATGTCATTTTTATTTTTTAGCCACGCAGACTTCTCTGTTTCCAATATGGACAAGGAAAGGTAGGGAAGATGGAGCAGGTGAGCTAGAGTCCTACGGCATTTACAGCTGCTTCATCAAAAGTAAATACAACAGAGCATGTGGTACACATTCAGCAAACACGTATTAGTGCTGTGAAAAAGCTAGTAAGGAAGAACAATTAGTTGCCTGGTGGTGTTGGTGCAAGCCTTTAATCCCAGCACTTGGGAGGCAGAGACAGGCGGTCTCTGAGTTCAAGGCCAGTCTGGTCTACAGAGGGAGTTCCAGGACAGACTCCAAAGCTATGGAGAAATCCTGTCTCGAAAACAAACAAAACCACAACGACGAAGAAATTCCAATTGGGGAGCAGAGGGATGGCTCAGGAAGGTCCTTTGCTCTTCCATGAGACCTGAGTTTGGTACCCAGCACCACACTGTGGCACACAACCATCAAGGGATCTGATGTGCTCCTCATGTCTCGACAGGTACATTCATGGTGCAAAACACCATACAAATCAAATTAAAAAATAAAAACAAATAAAGATGGTAAAAACAAATAGTAAACATCAATCAAAAATGATCCTCAGAGAGCGAGCCATGAATTGATGGCTCCAAGTAGGATAACAACCAGCAGCCCCACCGCCAGGAGAAGGGAACCGGGCACAACACAGCAACACATTCCTACCTGATTGCTTGGGTCCAGACCAGCATAAGAATTTCTTGAACTGCAACCAACCGGAGGTGTGGCCTCTCGAATGAATTCTGACATCTCAATCCCTCCACCAGGATCACTGCAAGAGAAAGAGAACTGTCATTAACTATGAACCTCCTTTGTTTGGGGTTCCATCTTGTTCTCTGTAAAACCAAGAGGTTCTGTTTCTTATTCTCTTGTTGGTTTTTGCAGCAGGGTCTCTACTAATTCTATCTGTCCTAAAACCTATTCTGTAAACCAGGCTAACCTCAAACTCACAGAGATCTACCTTCTCCTGCCTCCCAAGTGCTATTAAGGCATGCTCCACTGGGCCTGACAGGGGTCCTGTTTTTTTCTTTGTTTTGTTTTTTTTTTTTTCCTCAAAGAGTAAAACAAAGAATGAGGACTAGTTTGCAAATCTGAAAGTTGGAACTATCTAAGAACCACAGAACTGTTTGGAGGAACTCACAATTCCTATCTCAAGCTGTCCACATAAGGCTCAGTGAGAAGAAACTGGCCTTAATTATAGAAAGTAAATAATTGATGACACATGCCATAAAACCACTCTTGCAAAGAAGTTACTGCCTTTTGTTTCCCAAGAGCAAGCCAAAGAGGCCAACTGAAAACAGTCAGACAACACGTGAGCTGACGTCTCATAGACACATGTGACTGTGTAACACAGACACACTGGGGAAGGCTGTGTTTTGTAAGTAAAGGGAAAGTACCTGGGATCTAGTTGCTGTAAAGAACTAGAAGCCTGTGCATTTAAATTTATGTTTGTTGCCTGTATGGTGGCACACACCTTTGATCCAGCACTTTGGAGACAGAGGCAGGCAGATGTCTGTGAATTAGAGGCCAGCCTGGTCTACAGAGTGAGTTTGAGAACAGTTTCAGGACAGAAAGACTCTACAGCAAAAAAACAAAAACAAACAAAAAACCTAAAACCAAAACAAAATAAAAAACAAAGATTTGTTTGCTGAGCTAGAATTCCAATGATAAAAAGTGGTTAACAGCAGGTCTTAGAAAATCAAAGAGTAAGGTATTAGACTCAAAGAGCTGATGATACCCAATATACTAATTAGAAATAATAGCAAAACTTAGGTGAAAAAACTAACAAATTTCAAAATCTTAACATGGTCTATGTTTCCTCAAGAACACAACTCTTAAAGCAACCTGTTTTTATTGGAAGCTGTTTACTTGTTCAAGTTTAAAACCCTGCCAGCCAGTATCTAATCCCTGGGTAGCCAAAAAATTTTGGTGATCAAAACGTTTTTCTAGCGCTCTAATTTCCTCACCCCAAACTCTCACAAGGTTTAGATTACATTGACTCCAACACATGAGCTCTACCCACCAAAGGCGATACAAACAGCCCAGTTGTGGCCACCGAACTAGTTCTAGAGAAGGCACATTAGTCCAGTTCAAACTAGTATGGGTCAGGCCAGAAAAGTCCCATAGTTGAAATATATTTCTCTATGCCTGCCCATTTTTATTTTAGTCTTCATTTTATGTGTGTGAATGTACCTGTGTGTATGTCTGTGCACCATGTGTGCACCTGGTGTCCGGAGAGACAGGAGAAGGGCACTGTATCACCTGGAACTGGAGTTACAGGTGATGGTGAGCTGCCACTTGGGTGCTAGGAACCAGACTCAGGTCTTCTGGAAGAACAGCGAGTGTTCTCAGCTGCTGAGCCATCTCTCTGGTCCATGTACCTGGTAGTCTTGAAGCTATGACTTTAAAACCTGGAGCTATTGCAGACACTGAGGCCAGAATGGAGGTGGTCACCTTTTATTCCCAGCACTCAGGGAGCAGCAGCAGGCCTATCTGAGTCACATGGTTCACATATCAAATTCCAGGCCAGCTAGAGCTCCATGGTGAGGTCTTCTCTCTCAAGTTAAAAACAAGCAGCAGCAGCAGCAGCAACTAACTGACTGAAAGATCAAAATCTGGATACCAAAATGGGAAGCAGCGTCATGAGGTGAGACACCTGAAGACGCCCCCACAGGCAGATTCTCTAGTATTGTGAGACAAAAGAGCCCTTAAGTGTCTGGATGGCGTCTCTGCCATCAGAAGGGAACTCACTTGGCAACACATCTTTACAAGTATTACTAGAGCAGCAGTCTGCTTTATGTTCCTTCTCTTACTAAAGGCAGTGTTCCTGGTTTGCTTAAGGAGTTTAGGCCACTAAGAACTTTCTAATCTGTTATACATCTACATAAATACAGCATCCTAGAAACTAGATACCAAGTTCACAGCTAATTCAGTACACTAACTCCTGTGTGAGGAGAGGGAATATATGTGTTCCAGGTTGTTAGCTGTTCTGTATTAACTCATACCAGCTCTAAAGTCTACACCAAGAACTTAAGAGTATATAATGTAGCGACTCTCATCACAGAAACGCCCAGTAATGTCATTAAAATGCACCCTCTCAGTCAGACCCACAGCAACCAAAAGATGCAGAGCAAAATGAAGACTAAGAAAATAAACACTCAATACCAGAGGAAGGATGGAAGCTTTCCTCTTGTTTTGTATGTCTATACATGTATGTGTACACATATTACCTTCATCACATACCACAGAACCCATCCACTTAAACTTTATAACTCAGTATTTCTAGACATTCATAAAGTTATGAAACCATCATCATTCATCACCTCATTTGCTTCTCTCTGTCTTTTCCATTCTCCTGCACTAGGCAAACACTGACCTACTTTTTGATCTGCAGATGTGCCCACCTGGGCATTTCATATCAACAGAAATAGGAAGTATGGTGCACATAATGGCTTCCTCCTCTTGACGTAACATTGTAACATGCAACACTTCATTTATACTTGTGGCCAAACAACACTCCACTGTATGGACAGATATTTGCTTCTTCAGCCAGAGGCAAAACTATCTCACTCACTTTCATATATCATTTCTGATTTTAAAAAATCCAAGCAGTCATAATGTAAATGAGTCTATCCCAGTTTTAGAAATAATTATTTTTTTAGTTCCTGATGAAATCCTCCCTAAAATTTGTAAATGTTTCTATCCTTGTTTTACATATAAAAAAGTAAAATATTACAGAGGTAAACTCTAGCAGAAGATCTCCAAGTGAACAAGCTAACCTGGTGACGTAGGAAGTTACAGTATGTGGACAAATCTGCTCTTTATTTGCTATACACTTGGTGCATGTGTGTTTGAACACCAGGTCTATAAAATATAAAGCCACACACACTTTCTAATAAACTGTCCTGTCCTTTAACAACAGACACTGAGGTTCTTCTGTCCCCAACTGCCAACTATTCACTAATACTTAGGGCAGGCTTCTTCACGCCATCCCTGTCGACACTGGGCCCGTAAGTCATGGCTGTGAGGGACTGGCTGTGCACAATGGCTGGCAGCCATTCTGGTCCTTACCCTCCCACAACTGATGCCAGCAGCATACCCTGTTGTGAAAACTGGAGAGTCTCCTAGAATTGCCAGACACCCAGGGCCAGCATTACTCCCAGATGAAAAGCAATGACCCAGACCAAACACTGGTCCCTAGTCAATGTGAGGATGAGAAAGGAAACGTTCAAGAAACAAAAGGACAAAGCTAAAAGGCAAAGAAAGAATGCCTCCTTTATTTTAAACATCCTCTAATGAAATAACTATCATTCTCTCTTCTCCACAACCCTAAATTGTGGCTTGAATACAGTCTGACACACAGACCGGTGAGGTACAGTGTTCCTTAGGAGTGAGACTGGCCAGGTGTAGCAAGGTGTGCTCAACACACACCTGTAGAGTTCAGCAGTTTATAATTCTTACAGAGGCAAAGGGGTTCACTGCAGCAAGCAATGTCAAATTCAGGGAACCTCTACCTTTATGCCTTAATTTCCCCATCTGTTAACAAAACAAAACACAAACCAGGTACAAGGAAAGGCAAAGAAGCAGAAGTCTACCATGAATTACAGGGGAGCCATCACAAACTAGGTTTCGGATCATTACTATCATATCAACTGCTGACGCTCAGGCTTTGGTCAGAAACATTATAACACCCTTATAATGCTAACTTTACAATTGTAATCTAGATTCTAATGATGTTTATAAAAATAGAAGTAGATTTTTAAAAAAAAAGTCTCTAAGCAGAGTAGATCTTAGCCTAAAATCCAGTTTCATAAAGGTTAAATGGCTGGGCGGTGGTGGTTGCACGCCTTTAATCCCAGCACTAGGAAGGCAGAGGCAGGCCATATGAGTTCGAGGCCAGCCTAGTCTACAAGAGCTAGTTCCAGAACAGGGTCCAAAGCTACAGAGAAACCCTGTCTCACAAAAACCAAATCAAAACAAATCAAAACAAACAAACAAACAAACAAAAAGATTAAATGGAGGTTTGGTTTATAGAAACAGAAAATGCAAGTCTCCAGAATACTAGCATCCAAATCTTTAAATTCAATGATTAATTTCTACTCATACTTTAAATATACAATACAGGCATTAAAGAGTCTAACTCTTTAAGGTAAAGATTTAAGGGTTTTTGAACTACTGTATCACATAAGAGAGGGCACTGAAAATCCAAATGGTTCCAAGAGTTACTTACTCATGCAATAAACTACTGCGCTAAGGAACCAAGCACGGTGGCCTACATAGGAACTCTATGGAGTCCTGATTGTTCTGTCCCTCAGAACAGAATGTGAGACAAGTGGGAGAGTGAAGAGGAGATGTAAAAACAAAAGCCTACAGCAGAAATCTCAACAGGCAAGTTTTAAAAAGATAGAGAATCCTCAAAAAACTAAACCTAAATCTACCCTATGGCCCAACTACACAGTTCCTTGGCTACACCCAAAGGACTCAACAGTCTACTTCATAGATCCTTGCTCAGCCATGCTCACTGCTGCTCTAATCACAAAGGTAAAAATAAAATGTCATCATACAGGAAATCAAGAAATTACACGAAGTGCATCATTGACAGGCAAGTTTAATAAGATTTCTAGATACAACAAAAACGGCTACATTTGAGAGAGAAAAAGACAGCAAAATTTTTAAATTTTTCAGGTAGAAAACAAAAATAAATTATTTTTAATGGAGAAATGATAAATGGAATTTTGAAAAATAAAATAGAGAAAAGTTTAATACCTCAGA